TATTTCATGTCACCTGCTGTGAGAATAATGCAATGGTGCAGCACTCTCCAGTAGTGTTTGGCAGGCTGATGATTCTGTAGAGGAGGCAGAGGCCCCAGATGCTGTCAGCCTTGAGCTCAGCAGACACAGCATCTGGGGTACTCCTTTACTATCTCCACGGGTGTAAGCGCTCCTGGGACAGCTTAGAGTCCTGTGGCCTGCTTTCCAACCAATTCTTGGCTGAGAATCCTCAAAAAATAATCACTCTCCAAGAGCACAGAGCATCCTGAGGTGGGGCCAGTCCTTCACTGAAGTCCTGCAATCTAGGCTGGAGTCACAGGCTGCCTCCAGGAAGGATAGACTCTATGGAAGGAGGCTGACTGACACCCAAATCCACAGCCTCTCACCTGGGCACAACCGCCAAGTCCCAAGGCTTCTGTCTGCAGAGACCCTTCTGAGCATCAGCTTACCATGGTCCCCAGAGCTACTATTGTTATTGGAGGTGAATTCAATACACTTTGGGCCAGATGACCTAAGGCTGCCTTAGTCACCTTCCTTAGACACTTGGGAGACCTGAGATTTGCTGAGACCCTCTGATAGATGGATGATCCTGTGTGAATGCATGATGTTACATTAAAACCACTGTATTTCCTCAAATTTGATGGAAGTTTTGCCCTCAGTAAGCTTTATGTATTATTTCTTTTACCTTCTCAAATTGCCCAAAAATGCAAAAAAATTTTTTAAAAAGTTGCATAAATAGCATAAAGCTGAATTTTATTTTCTTGTCTATTTTACATTGTTTTACACTGAAGGGTTTATATTTACTGTAATTACTGAACTATTTACACTTATTTTTACCCTATTATTTTGTGATTTCTATTTGTTTTTCTACCTTCATATTGTACATTTTTTTGCTATTTTTATTCTACTTTCTTCCACTATTAATTTGAAAATTATGTACTCTTTTAGTAATTACCCTATTATGTTTTAAGCTTCACATTTATTTATTTTTTTGTGTGTATGCTGCTGGGGTTGAATCCAGGGCCTTGTGCAAGCACTCTACCAACTGAGCTATATCCCCATTAAGCTTTACATTTAAAATAATAAAGATTAATAAAGATTAAAGTTAACATATTTTACCTCATCCTAATTAATACAAATAGCTTGGAAAACTTCAATGTCCTATATCCTACTTCCAAATTATATGACTTTGTTGTGTAGATATTATTTCTATTTTTCTTGACTTTATTAACCTGGAAAATTATGTAATAATATTACACTGTATGATAGTTTTAGTTTTAAACACTTATTTACCAATTTCTTTGCACATCATTCCTTCTCGTATTAATAGTTATTTTTTAAAAAATGTTTTTAATTGTAGATGGACACAATACCTTTATTTTGTTTTATTTGTTTTTATGTGGTACTGAGGATTGAACCCAGTGCTTCATAACTGCGAGGCAAGCACTCTACCACTGAGCCACAGCCCTAGCCCAGGAGTTATTTTTTCTTTAGTGGTAAACTCCAGATATTTTGTCTAAAAATGTCTTGAATCAGGTAAATCGGTTCAAATCCTAGTTTCACCACTCTTTAGTCATGTGCTCTAAGATATATACCTTAACTTCTGCAATCACTGGTTTATTTATCTCTGAAACTGGGATAATTTTATAGCACTGTCATCCTCTACTGAGAGAGACAAGTCTGCGGATGTGGTGGAGGAAGATGCAGTGAGAAGGTCCTGAGGCAATAAGTTCTCTCCAAGGGTGCCAAGATTCAAATTGTAATGAAAATAAATAAAAAAATCATAAAAAACCCCCAAATGTATAAAGCAAACATACTCTGTAATCACTTCTCTGAATGTCTGAGAACTGTAGGGAAAACAAAGTTAACACATATTGAATTACCTAGTAACATTCTTGTATATTTGAGGGTTAAAGTGTGTATTTTGAATCAGCATTTTCAAGCCCAGTGAAATGGCTGGCTTGTAGGGGCTTATGAAGACGACTTTACAGAAGAGAATGCCTGCCTGGATGTCAGCAACTTGTTAGCCAACTCCAACAGTCAAGTCTCATCAGAAAAATCCACTGTGAAAACTTTAGGAACTTCTGACTATGAATTGTAATTATATGACAAGTAATTCCAGGGCCAAAGAATGTTTTGGATTTGTATGAAAATTAAAATAACCACTATTCTAAGCTATGCTGCCTTTAATTCTGTACAATGATTAAATCTAAAGTAACTTTCAATTATATTGAGCTTTATATATCTATATAAATTTTTAAGGTAGCTAATTTTTTAAATATTGCACATCTATTAGTTTGCATGGACTAGATCCTTTCTCAGATTATCTTGTTTCATGCTCTCCATATATTTCTATGCTACAGAGGAGAAAGTAAACATTTAAATCACTTGCTCAAAACCTTAATTTCTAGATTAATACTTTATTTTGAAAAACCATCTTTCCCACTATATTTTAAATTAACATTAAGAAATTGGTTTGTTACAACAGAATAAATGATAATCTTTTAAAACTAAGCAGTAAATTCCTATTAAAAACTGTATAGGGCTGGGGATGTGGCTCAAGCGGTAGTGTGCTCGCCTGGCATGCATGCGGCCTGGGTTTGATCTTCAGCATCACATACAAATAAACATGTTGTGTCCGCTGAAAACTAAAGAATAGATATTAAAATTCTCTCTCTCTTTAAAAAAAAAAAAAACTGTATATAACCGTTTTTCCTACTGAAAGACACACAAATCATATTTCTATTTTTATGCTAGGCTGCATCTACTTGTGTTCATGATGCTATGGTTAATATGTATATAAAACTTTAGTAAAAACTAATTGTTAGACCAAATAAAGAAAAATGCATTTTGGAATATGAAATAGACTGTTCTTCTATGCAAAGGAATATTGGGGGAGCAAAGAACAAACTAGGATCAATAACAGCAAGGAATAGATTCCAAAGATAGTGATTTTTATGGATTTTAATTGGGAATAGAATGTCTCTTATGTCTCATGTTGGGGCTTTCGGACGTTTTTCCTTTAAATGCCTTTGCAAAAGCCTTTACGTAAGCAAGCAGAGGATAATCAGCATCTAGTAATGCTAAAAACTAAATTATTCCACAGCTTTGATCAGGAGGCCAGACCCAACTATGTGTTCTGAAGATCCATTTTTTATCTTTCTTTTTTTAACTAAGCGAGCACTCTACCACTGAGCCATAATCCCAGCCCCACATTTTCTTTCACTTAAAAATAAGAGTCCAAAGAAACCCTAGTCTAATCATGGGAAAGTCAATATAAAAACCCTGATCACTGATTTATATTTTGGGCTAAGAATTTCCCACTGATCTCTGATTTGACATGTTTACTGCATTGGGTACTGACCAGATGAACGCCATCAAGAGACCTACAAATTTGGTTATTAAGTAAGTAGTAAACCTATACCTGACTACTTTCTTCTCATTTATCTCAGCTGAGGTGAGAAGAACCTCAGCTGACATTGTTTCAGCCACCTCCACCTTAAATAGCCCTTTCCTATCTGTCCAGTGTCAAATGGTTCTCAATGGCCTATGTGGCATCTAAAGCACTGGTCCTCAAGCTATTCTTTCAAAGTCTGAAAGATAACATTTACTAGGCACTTACTCCGTGAGTGGCAAGCATGTTCACCACAATCTCTGTGAGGTGAATGATACCCCATTTTACAGGTCAGGCACTGGAAGCAGGAGAAGCAATCACCTCCAATGTAATATGGCTAGAAATTGGCTGGCATACACAAAGCCAGGCAGAGCTAGTTCTTACCCAGTGCATTAGGGTGACTGAAAAATTGGTTTAGAGTTTTGCGAATATCTCATTTAATCCTCACAACAGTGAGAGGACCTGTCTGCATCAACATTCCTACCTTACAATGATCAATTTCAAAATGATCAACTGCTATTAAAAAAAAACAAAACAGGGAAATTAGTAACATTTGTAGTCCATAAAGAAGGAACCATGGGGGCTGGGGTTGTGGCTCAGTGGTAGAGCACTTGCCTAGCACATGTGAGGCACTGGGTTCCATCCTCAGCACCACATAAAAATAACTAAATAAAATAAAGGTATTGTGTCCATCTATCTACAACTAAAAACAAAAAACAAACAACAACAACAACAACAACAACAAAAAAAAAAACCGAACAGAGACCATGAAAGATTAATTAAAATCTAGGGGGAAGTGATGGAGTGCATAAAGGTACGGAGGTAGGGGGGTTGCGGGGGGTGGGGGACGGGTGTGTGTGGGGAGGATTGGGGGGGGGGGGGGGGGGTGTGGAGGGTTGGGGGGAGCCAAGAATCCCTAAATAAGAAACTGCTAGACACTGTGGCCACACCTATGTAAAGAATATATTTTAAAAAGTTGCTTAGTGAAGCCTGTCTATTCTCTTACATCACATTTCAGTAATTATGGCACATACCTCCACCCAATGGTTTGTTAGTAAAATTCAAAATTAGTGGGGGGAAAGTCCCCCCTCCCAGAAAACCCACAGAAGAGCTGACCCTTTGAATCACCACTTTCAAAATGATCAACTGCTATAAAATCGTCAACGTTCTGAAAGTTTAGTTAAGCGATTTATGCATTCTTGCTTCTTCCAAAACCGACTAAAATCCCGTAGCCCTTTCAAGTTACCCTACTTCATCTCATCTTGCCATTTTTGCAGGAAAGTGATTAATAACCTCCCCTCCCCACCAATAACATAGCCCCCGAGGCCTCAAGAACAGGCAGAAACTGTCCCCTAGCCGACTTGGGGCGGTGGCGACTGCCGCGCGGAGGTGGAGGTAGGAGGTGGTAGGGACGCCGCTCCCAGCGGGCGGTGGAGCAGAAACCCAGCGGGAAGCTGGATGGGGGTGGTCTCCCAAGCCGGGGTTAGAGTACACCCCGGTCCAGCTCCGCTTCCGCGCGGCTGAAGAGCGAAATGAAGAGGCAGCGGGGAGAGAAAGGGAGGAGAAATAAAGGAGAGAGGCCCGGGAGGCGCGGCTGCCACTTTACCTCAGAGCAGGAGGCCGGGGATCGGCTCCCGGCGCCGCTGCCGACTCCGGCCTTCGGGCCGCAAGGCTGGTGTGCTGCCGGCTTAGGCCGTTCCCCGACCTCGTCGAGGGGGAGTGGCTGTGCCGCCCCTGCAGCTCGGGTGCAAGCCTCTGGCACTCGCTTGGGGCTTATTGTCCGCGGACGCCGAGGGCAGGCTAGCGGGCCGCTGGCCGCACCCCGCCCCGCCCGGACCCTTCGCAGCCACGGGCGCGCCGACTGGCGGCCGAGAGCGGCCCGTGCGTGTCTCTTTAAGGGGCCGGGCTGCGAGGCTGCGGGCGGGCGGGGTGCGCGTCGCTCCGGGTGAGTGTGCGAGGGAGAGAGCGGCGGGCGGGCGCCGGCGGGAGGGAGGGAGCGAGCGAGCGAGCGAGCCAGCGACGCGGGCCCTGCCGCCGCCGCCGCGGTCGCACTAGCGGCCTCCTCCCCTCCCCCGCGCTGCCTGCCGCGGGGAGGGGGCTCGCGTCGCCGCCTCCAGCCGCTCCCGATGAAGCAGCTGCCGCCGCGGCCGCCTCCGAAGATGGGGGATTTCTACGACCCTGAGCACCCGACCCCTGAGTAAGTCTCGGTTCCGCGGCCTCCGCGGTCGTGGGCCGCCTTGGCCCGAGTCCGGTGCGTCCTGACGGGCAGTGGGGCGGGCGTCGCGAGGAGTAACGGGCCTCGCTGCTCGCGCGGCTGGTGAGAGCACCCCGCGCCGCGCCTCGGGCCCCGTCTGTCGCGGCGGCGGGCGGTCGGCCCGGCGTGGGCGCCACTGATCGCGTCGCGGCGGCCGTTGGGCGGCGGTGGGGGAGGGGCGGCCGGCCGGAGGCCACTGCCGCGTCCGCCCGGCGGGGGAGCGGGCCTAGGCCCCACTGGAGCGGCAGCCGGGTCGCAGGGCGGCTGCGGTTGCGGCCGAGGCCGGCGGGAGGGCGCGGCGAGGTAGGCCGAGAATCCCCGGGCTTGGGTGGAAGCTCTGCCCGCCGCCGGCCTACCGGCGGTCGCAGCCCCGACCGGAAGGGCCTAGCGCGCGCCGCCCGGCCCGGGCCGCAAAGGGCCCGCGCTGCGCTCTCGGGCTCCGTTTTTTCCCCCCTGGGAACTCGATCCTGGCCTCGTAGTGCTTCCGGCTGCGCATTCCGCACCTTTGGAGCCCGGATTTTGTAATGGTGGCGAGGTTTGTGTGGTCCCGTTGTTGGGATGACACCGGGTTTGTTTTTCCACCTGAAAATGAAAGTCCTCTGAGGGAATGCATTTTTCAGCACGTTATGGTTTTTGCACACTTTCGGACACTCTTATGTCTTTGGTAACAGGAACCTCTTACCTAAATGGGTGACTTTTACTTCATGTGAAGATAGTGAAAACGCCAGCGATCATTTGAGGATTCTCTGAAGAAGACAGTGCTAGTAAACCCAAATACAGTTTTGCCCAATAGTACTTTTCCAGTCTAGGACATTTTTACATTTCTTTTGAGGGCTGTATCTGCTGCTATATCCTGATAACTCAGAAAGCTTTACTCCAGAGCCTGGAGTCAGTTCTTTCTCTAAGCCCTCACAAGACCATTGTTTTGAGAAGCCATTCTCAAACTCCATTACTGGTGGTAAAGTCTACACTTAAAAATATACAATTCATTTCAAAGTTAATGCAGTAGGGTTGCAAGTGAAACTGTCAAACTTTTATGGCCGGAATGATCCTAGAGATTTGTTCTTTTGATACATTTTATCTTACCTTTGCTGTGGTGGTTTTTTGAACCCGATGACAAATTTTTTCACCTTGGCCTGGAAATATCTGGACCTTGCTTGATAGTTCTTAGGTTTGATTACAACACAAAAGGATTCTGTTGGGGTGTTGGCCCTCTCTGCACAAAAAGAGAAATCATTATGTTGCTTTTCTAAAACAAAACCCAACTCTTACTTGCAATATTAAGTTAACGTGGCTTTGCCCTTTTGTGGGTTCTTGGCCATGGGTTAACATTATTTTAATTAGATTGTTTTGTTGTACTGTACAGTCAGTCCAGTTACAAAGCTCATGTTGTAGGTTTTTGGTTGAGACTGTAAATTCTCAAAAAATTCTGTAAAAAATTGATAAACGCTGATTGAGCTCTTGTCCTGTAAGAAGTAACACGCTAGCCTCTGAATGGGCAAAGTGCCTATTTTCAGTTCCTTTTGCCAGGTTGTTTGGTGAAGTTCAGAAGCTTTAAGGAACACATCCTTTCACTTCTTGGGGGAAAACAATTTTTTTTATAATATGCAGGAAGGTGGACTCAGAAGTGCATCTTTGGACACAGGTTGGGGAGGAATCAAGGCGATTATTTTAACAAGTCTTGGAGTTTTTAGTTTTACTGATTTTTCTGGCTCTACCTCGGATTTCTAATAGTGACTAAATAAGTTCTTATGTAGTTTTTTTCATTTGTTTATTAACTTGTATGAGCGTCTGTAAAGAATTATAAAATGTTTTCTTTCATAACATTTTAAGGACTAGAGGAGATTTTGATAGGCATTCTGAACAATATTGCCTCTCTTACAGATGAAGAAAATGAAGCCTTGCCAAGAAAATGAGAAGTGAAGTGACAGCAAACCCTATACGGAAATATATATGAACTAGTTAGTGTTTATAATGCTGGAGAGAGAAAGGAAGCACACAGTACAGGGTTAAAGAAATGGATTTCAGAGTCACACCTTGGTTTAAACATTTGGACAGGTTACTTCATTTCTCTGAGTTTGGGTTTTCTCATCTTGGAAGTAATTATCCTAATGGTAGCAACTTACTAGGGCTTCTGGGAGGATTGAATGAGATAATGCATGAGAAGTGTTTGCCACATAATGTGGCACATGTAAGTGCTTCTAGCAAGGGTCATCAGGGAATATTAAGAGGTAGTATTTAAGTTGAGCATGAAACGGTTAGGTGGGCTTAAGTGGTGGTGGGGGTAACATGGTTGAGAGAGTGAATGACCAAATGCCCCTTTTAGACTTCAGGTCATTTGAAATGGTTGATAGATGTATAAAGAAGTTTTAGGTGAAAAATGTAAATTCAGTTTGATTGAAGTTGCAGTTGGGGCCTGATATTTTGTATTTGTCTTGTACTTAACTCTTTATCAGACACAACTGTAAGTCCTGGCTTTTCCTGCACCATAGAGGCATTGTGTTTCAGGTGAAAATGGCTATAATCACTTAAGTATCTGTGCATTAGGTATCTAATATAGGGCAAAGACAGGTGTTGAGGACACTGTAAATTAGATCAGGTTAGTCTTCAAGGACTTTTTCTAATGAGGGAGATAGACAAGTACTTAACAGTGACACAAAAGCTGTTTTTTTTTTTTTTGATACCGGGATTGAACCCAGGGGCACTCACCCACTAAGCCATATCCCAAGTCATTTTTATATTTGGTTTAGAGACAGAGTCTTAGAGCCTCGCTTAAGTTGCTGAGGCTGGCTTTGAACTTGTGATCCTCATGCCTCAGCCTCCCACCTCTGGGATTACAGGTGTGCGTGCACCACCATTTTTTTAATATGCTTGTCTGTGCTAAAAGTAACCATAGTAGGGGTGGTTGGTATGTGTATATGTATATTTAAAAAATTTTTTTGCCCTTGTGGGGTTTAAGGAGGAATGATAAACAGTAAATTATATAGAATTAATATTATATAGACTAATATTTTTAGGCAAAGGCTTAAAGGTGACATAGCCATGTTAGTATCTGGAGAGAAAGCATTTAAAGCAGAGGGAATGGTTCTAAAGTGTTGAGGCAGATCTCTGAGTTCTTCCCAGTATGGCTAGAATGGAATGGTCAATAAAGAATGATATTGAATTGGGTCATGATGGGGTGGGGTACAGATTTCTTTCTTTCTTTCTTTCGTTTTTGGAGGTACTGAGGATTGTGTGGTGCAGATTTTGTAGAGCTTTGTAGAGCCATTATGGAGACTTGTCTGGTAGGTTTTGGGGGTTTGTTTTTTGAGATGGAATCTCTCACTGTGTTGTTGTCCAGTCTGGCCTCAGACACCAAGGCTCAAGTGATTCTCCTCAGCCCCCAAGTAACTGGGACTGAAGATGTGAGCCACTGTGCTGGGCTGCTGGGAAATTTAAACAGTCTGCTTTCAGTTTTAGAAGGAACACTTCATTGTCCAGAGGAACAACAGTGGAAGCTTGAAGATTGTAAGGAAGCTAGTAATCCAGACAAGGTGCTGACTTGTACCAATGTGGTAAAAGAAGAATGGTGAAAAATGGTTGGATTATGAATATATTTTGAAAATCAAACTGGTATGATTTGTTGATAGATCATATGTAGTGTGAGGACCTGAGGATGCTTATAGGGTTTTTATCTGAGCAGTTAGAAATTTGCCATTCATTAAGATAGGAATGAATGGCTGTGGAAAGAGCAAGTATGGAGACTAGATCAGTAATTCAGTGTTAGACATTTGGGTTGAATTGATATCCAAGTTTAGAATTTGGGGGAAAGGTCTGGATTGATGATAAATTTTATAGTTATTGACTTGGGTAGTATTTAAAGCCATAAGCCTAGATGAGATCAAGGGATTCATTGTAGAAAGAAAAAGGACCAAGGTCCTTTGAAACTCCAGTGTTAAGAAGATTGTGTTAGTATCCAGTGTAAAACTGTTAACACGGATCACGTCATGAGAAAAATTACCTTTTCAGTAACCTCTAATAAGAAGTTAGCATTTCTTTCAATTATATAAACAATGAATTAAAGTACTAGTAACAGTATCTGTGATTTTGGTACCAATACAAATCACATATTTTAATTATTTTATTATTATAGATATCTCAAAATATTTATGTTCATCTCTATCAAAATTACAGTGCATATTAGATATACCTCTAGATTTTTAAGAAACATATATGTTACTATTTCACACTTCTGAGTTTTTTACCTCATATAATTGGTGTCCTTTGTAATCATATATACTTTATCTTATACATTTAAAAAAATTAGACTGAAAAGCTTAATTAGACTGCCAAAATGATTGAGGATCTTCTCCCCCCACCCATCACCACCGTGCCAAAAAAAGAAAGTTAAAACCCTGGGCTCTGGAGTCAGAACTCCTGATTTAGAATCTCACCTTTTTTTTTTTTTTTAAAAAAAACTTAATAGTTTTGTGAACTTGGGCAAGTTTCTTTTTCTCTTTGCAATACTGGTGATTGAATCCAGGATTACTCTACCACTGAGCTACATTCCCAGCCCTTTTTATTTTATTTTGAGACAGGGTCTTA